GTGCCCCCCTCCCCATTTCGTCAATTGGCTACAGTAATAATATGACCCGAGGTTCTTAGGTCAAAATATCCTTGCTCAAGGAAAATACTACCTTAATAATATCTTTACCTAAGGTTGAAATTATCAGTTTTTATGCTTCAAATTTATGGAAAAATCGAAGGATTTTTAAAAAGGATATCGATATCGTAACATTTTTTGAAAAAAACTACAGTTTTTAAGTTCTTTACAAGAACAGACCAATATAATCCCAACTCTAGGGGGTCAAGTTGTACGCAACCTTGTCCCTGTAAAAAACAAAGAAGTTTCCATTGAATCCTTGATGTGTTGGTGCATTTACTCCCCAAAACTACACAAAAAGTGAAAAGGGATGTTTGATGTGCCATTTTGAGTGAGTAGATTATTTACTCAAAATTAAGAAAATCAATAGTGATTCTATAAGGTAATTAGTCAAATCATTAAGTTCTGAGAAAAAATAATAGAGATAAGGTTGATAGCGAGATAGACACTTCCGAGAATCAATTTGGTTTCATGCATAGTCAGTAAACAACATAGGTCATTCACCTCCTGAGAAGGCTGATGGAGCAGTATAGAGCGAAGAAGAGGGACCTACAAATGATGTTTGTACTTTATACTGTTCATTGTTTCAGAGAAGTACAAGAGAGTTCCAAGGAAGATCTGATGCAGGTGCCTGGAATACAGAGGGTTTGATCGCTTACATCCGAGATGTTAAGAACATGTATGATGCCTGATGGGGCGAAGACCAGGGCGAGGTAAATTGGAGGTGGCTCAGATCACTTCCCAACAGAAATGAGTTTGCATCAGGGTCTGCCCTCAGTCCTTTCCTGTTTGTCTCGATGGTGAATGTTCTGATGCGTGATATTCAAGGAGAGGCACCATGGTGCATTGAAACATGTTTGTGGATGACATTGTTTTGATTGACCAAACACGTGAGGGCCATGGGTTGGAGGTGTGGAGAGTGGGACGGACTTTGGAGTCCAAAGGTTTCAGATTGAGCAAGACTAAGACTGCGTATGTTGAATGTTACTTCAGTGGTTTGATGACCAAGTCAGAGGCGGAAGCAAAGACTGATACGCATCTACTACCGATCCATCATTCAAGCTTATGGGGTGAGAGCTGGGGATATTATTCATTACAGCGGAGCAGTTTGGATGAAGTGGAAGCTTAATTCAGGTGTCCTATGTGACAAGAGGTTATCAACAAAGCTTAAAGGAATGTTCTATCATAGTTATCACGGAACCAAAGCGAGGCACGGCGCCAGTGTACCGCTATGATGCCTAGACGACCGCCTAGGCGACCTAGGTGGCAACACAAAAATCAGGATTGGTATACCTTAGTAACACTAAATTATATATAAACATTCATGTTCTTTAAACCTAATCAGAATTTCAAATGAACATACTTTAAAAAATATAAACACGCCATAAAATGAAAAATAGAAGATTATAAAATATGAAACATGATTAAAACCCAATATGCGACTTCTTATTGCAAAGTAAATACTAAGTATGAAAAAGTCACCATCTAAAAAGCATAAAGGATTTTCAAAAGGCGATGCCTAGACGCCTAGGCGAGGGAAGCAAAATAAGGTGAGGCAATACACCATGGCGAGGGGAGCTGACCGCTAGGACGCCTAGGCGGTGCCTAGGCAATGCCTTGATAACTATGACTTCAACCAAGCACCGACTATGTTGTATAGAGCTGATTGTTAGGACTTAGAAAGTGAAGAAAACTCAAATTCAAAACCTCTAAGTGACAGAGATGAAGTGAGATGGATGCATGATCACACGAGGATGGATAAGGTCCAGAAAGCTATTCAAAGAGGGGTGGGAGTGGTCTCTGTGGAGGATAAGCTACATGAAGCTAGACTGAGATGGTTTGGGCATGTACTCGGGAGAAGTACATATGCTCCATGGAGGTGTGAGAGGCTAGAGGTAAGAGACGTCAGGAGGGGTAGAGGTAGACCTAACCAAAGTTGGAAAGAGCTGATTAGACATTATTTAGGACCCTAGGATCTTCCTGAGGATATGACCTTAGATAAGAGTGTTCAAAGGACTAGGATGAATCTTTTTCTTTCCACTTTCTCACCATTTTCTCTTCTCACCATTTCCTTTCACATCATTTTATTTCATTCCATTTTCCTTTCTCATCCAAACAAAGGTTTAGTTCCATTGGCAATAGACCCATTTGTAAATTTTTTAGCGAAATATAATGGTGCCCTTATTTCAAGATAAGTTTTGATATGTTTCCAATGTTTTTCAGAAATTTTGGCATTTTTTATATTATTTGACGTTCTCCAAATTTCTCCCAAGGATCAAGAGAAATTTTTTACCCATTGGTATCAGAGACTTCAAAACATGGAAATTGTGATGAAAATTTTGAAAATATCGGAACATTTTCATCATTTCCAATTTACATAGTGAAAAAAAGACAACAACAACCGAGTAGAAGAATCCCATGAAAGTAGGGTCTTGGGAGGGTGTGTACGCAGACCTTACCCTCACTTGAAAGTAGAAAGGCTGTTTCCATGAGACCCCGGCTCGAGCAACATAGAAAGCACAGTGAAAGCAAAAAAATCTCAAGAATTTCTAAACAGTGTTTAAAATGTGTAGTTATGTCACGAAGTGTTTACCCTTTCTCTGGAACAAGGTCATCTCCAACACCAGAAACATGAAGATAATAATCAGAATCCAACTCCCAAAGTGCAGGTTTCCCCTCCTGAGGTTGGAAATAGCCCAGAAACCTGGAAAAATAAATCAATCAATACAAATATCCCAATTTGTCCAAATAAATACCGTACATGCATGCTTAAGTTCTAAGAAAAAAGATGGTCTAACATCTTTCTACAACTCCAAATTTCAGATTGGCAAGAAATAAATCAGGACATGCTTTGACACCATACTACCAAGAAGATACTCCATCCATCCTACTAATCTTTCCTTTTTAACTTTTTTGTCCATCCCATTATTTTGTCCCATGCCATACTGGTAATGTTTGTATGGCTCAAATTCTTCCTACTTGTCTTACCTTTTGAAATCATTATCAACCACACACTTCTATTTTTCTCAATTTTTGTGCCACTATCCTATGGCCCAAACATAACAGAGGGAGTAATAAAAAAGCAATAATTATAGCAAATGGGTGGTATTTACAAATTAATTGCATCTTGCTTTTCACCATCAGTATAAGCATTGCTATAATAGCGCTTGATAGACTTCAGAAATTCTCTTGACTGGGTTGTAGCTTTCCACTTTCCCTGCCTTTCAGGAAAAACCTGTGTGTTCGACAACACAATAAAGTAAAGGTATCACCTACCTCTTACTGAGAGAAGAAGATTTATAAATAAAAAATAATTAAGTATTAAATTTGACTTAATGCAGTACGATGCACATACTGTGTTGTGGGCTGCAGAGCCACCATACTGTTGTGCTAGGGCATCACCCATACTCTGGTACATCTCCATTAGAGCACCAGCAATGCTGCTATCGGCATCCACTTTGGGCTTATCACTCAATGACATTGCATGTAATTGATGACCCAAAGCTTCAAGACCATATGCATATTGGGCTACATTTGTTCGATCCAAGCAGTCTATGCAATTTGTACGGAGTACTCCACTTTGAAAACGTGGTGCATCCTTAGCACAGTTGTCTTTGCCGACTTGCCTATTACTATCCATCTCTCTATCTTGCTTGCCCAATGAACTAAACACCTCATTACCACTACCAACCCTGGGCAAGTCCCCTGAACTAGGCCTCAAATCTCTTAAAGAACATTCCCTGCATGAAGCGATGATTTAAAAATTAAAAGAAAGAATATCATGGAACAAAAGTAAAGAAATTTGTGACACGTGTCTCAAGAAGCCCAGTGTGAATTACATTGAAACATCAGCTGAATATGTGAAACATGGTATGCTAGCCCATGTTCCCCTCAACTCATTTTTACAACCAAATGAAAATATAGGACAACTACCAACCAATATAGGATAAAGTAGCAACATCATTCACATCAACAATAATCTTGAACACTTCTTTTGTGATGAACAAAACTATGCTGATATAATTTTATTTTTAAAAAATATAAAAAACAGTACATAGTTTCTTTTTAAGAACTGCATCAATCAATTTAAGAAAAGAGAAAAGAACAATAGTTCCACATCACAATGTACTGGATGAGATGAGTACGAGAGAAATGCAAAAAAGATAGCATACCAAAGAGTGAGATGGTAGATGATTAAGAGAATTTAGAGAAATATTTGGAATTATATTCATTTATACTCCATCCCAATTTATATTGCCTGTTTTGGTTTACGATGTTTGACTAAAATTATTTTCAAATCATTTTATATGAAAAATGGTGTAAAATTAAACAATAAATATTACATGTTAAAATACATCAAAAGATCTACAAAACTAGTGGTGACATGACTATATTATTTTATCAAATGACTAACAAAAATAGAGAAAGAAAGTGAATGAAGTTTGACCATGACACCATGTGAATAGTAAACAAGCAATTTGATTTGGGACGGAGGGAGTATATCTTATTTCAGATATTTTCTGTTGGTTAGGATTTAATTAACCATTGTATTTAATTATTTTTATGGCATGTTTGGGAATTGAAATTTGGATTTCAAATCCGGATTTGGCTCAAATTCCATGTCTGGAAAAGCTTTAAAATTTGGATTTGGATTTGAGGCAAATTCCTCTAATTCATTACAAAGCTCAATTGCAAATCCATATGTCTCTCCTTGTTTGAAATTCAATAATTCAAATTTTGGAATTGAAATGCAAAAATTGAAATGAAATGCTAGTTCCCAAACACTACCTTAGGTAGTTATTCCCATTGCCTTAGAGTGAGATTCTTGCTTTTCTTTATCTTAGTAGAGAATTGTCTTTGGCTTTATTAGTCGGATGAGTTCAAAATACTTGCTTATCCCCTTTATCTTCATCTTTATATTTAGAGAGATTAGATCCTGATTTCAATAAATAATAACAATTTATCCTTTTTGTTTTCCCTCCTATTTTGGTTCCTATCATTTGGTATTAGAGTCATCCCGTCCAAGAGTAGTACCATCCAGAATCAACATATAGAAATAAAGAATCGTCATCCTCTTCTACTTATCATCACCCTCTTCTTTCAGGTTTCAACCTCATCTTAATCAAACTTGAGGGATTTGCTGCATCAACACTGCAACACATGCACATTTTATGGCATTATCAAGGGAGCTTTATGCTATTTATCGAATATTGGTGACAGACAGGGAGCAGAAGCAGATTTTGATACGCAGCCTTGCTGCAAAACATGTTTTAGTTATGGTTACTCTTGAGGACATGGTAAATTTCAATGGGGCAGTATTGATAGAATACCAATGAGTGACATGATGGATGATTTAAGGAAGTTAGAGAGATATTAGGAATTTTATTTATAAATTTTATTTTATATATTTTCTGTTAGAAATTAAGTAATAATTGTATTTATTTAATTCTAACGAGTTATTCCCATTATCAGAAATAATGGAAAAGTTTTAGGAGTCTTTTTAGGGAGTCAATTTCCATGATCTAAGGGAATTGTCTAAGTTTTATTAATTTATTCTAAATGTATTCTGGTCTATAAATAGGGCAGCCATTTGAGAAGTAAATGATGGCTTAAAAATAATTATATCATTTTATCCAATTGCAGATTCTCCGCTCGTGGGCTATTGAGATCAGTAGAGTGAGATTGTTCATTTTCCTTATCTTAGTAAGTTAGTAGAGAATTATCTTTGGCTTTATTAGTTGGGTGAGTTCAAGATGCTTGCTTATCCCCTAACAGAGATTTATCGTCATCTTTATTATTTTGTAAGATTAGATTTTGACTTCAACAACAACCCAGTTATTCTTTGTCTCTGTGTGCTTTATCTGTGCTTTCTCTGCTTTATGTATATCCTGTGATCTTTTTGTATGTGCAGTTTGGGCTAGAGGTCTATTGGAACAGCCTCTCTACTTTCAAGTAGGGGCAAGGTTTGCTTACACACACCCTCCCCAGACCCTACTCTTGTGGGATCCAACTGGGTTGTATTTTTCCCTCCTATTTTGGTTCCTATAAAAAACCAGGCCCTTGAAGACTTTTAACTGATTATTTCTCATTTTGTGTGCAAAAGGTCCAGTTTGAAACATAGTTGTCACAGCACCAAGGCGAGAGTATGAATATGAACATACATGTTCTCTAATTCTAACCAAAATTTCAAATATACAAACTAAAAAAAATATAAACACACCATAAAAGATTTTCAAAAGGCGCTGCCTGGACCCTGGATGCCTAGGCAAGGCCAAGGCGACGCCTGGGCGAGGGGTTAAAAAACGGCAAGGCAATACACCAGGCAAGAGGAGCACAGCGCCACGACGCCTAGGCGACACCGTGACAACTATGGTTTGAAATGATAACAGTGTACTTGTACTCATTAATTCTCTCTCCCTCTCTCTCTCTCTGCGTGTGTTTGCAAAAGTCAAAATCCAAAGAAGGGCAAACAATATGAGTACCTTCCAGTGTTGGTCCGGCTGATTTGAGTAACTTGTCTGTTGATAATAAAAGGCTTCCCACTATAGTAAAAGCCAGTCAAATCAAGGGCTTCATTAGCCACACCACCCAAAACTGCCAACACATTCGCAGATTTGCTTCAAGAATCAAGACATAGGAAAAGATCAGTACCAAATATAAAAGTGTATGTGCAAGAAAAACAAAACTACATATCTACCTCTTCGCAAATTTGTGAAAATCCCAGTGTATGAACTTCAGCTGATGTTCTTCGGTAAGAATTTGATTCAAATACCCAACAGCATATGCAAATTCGCGTCTCAGCATCATTTCTCTTGGCCTCTTTTCTACTGTCTGAAATAAATAAAAAATCAATCTATAAAGAAACCAGAACTTGCTTTAGCAGAGCAAATCCTAGTGGAGTAGCATTAGATGTGTAATTTCTACTCCATCCCCGCACCCCCACCACACACACATAAAACATGCAAGAAAAAGAACACAGCAGGGATGAAATGAAAAGTTACAATGAAGGTACTTAGTCAGTCTTCAAAGCACAACCCAGTATAGAAATGCATAAAAGGAGTTTCAAATACGTATGTGTTAGTCAATCTTTCAAGAACCAGCCATAACACACATGCATAAAAGGAGGTCCAAACAGGTACATATGCTTGATTTAAATAAGGACCATGGAGGTTCTCTAATACCGAGTATTTAATAATGGCTTGATACTAACTTTGATTAGATTAAGTACAATGATGGGGTTTCCATATCTCCTTGCCAAGTCTTCAAAATGCATCTTCGTAGCCTCATATGTTGGATCATATCTTTGTACTTGATTCAGCAACATCATAGTTCATAGCACACAAAACCCAAACAATAATTTTTCTGAAACAATCAGAAAAATACTATAGAGCAGTGGTAATAATCAAGTAAACAGATGCCACTGTTCTTACAGATGATATCAGGTTTTGGGCTGAATCTTGAAGCTTCTTGAGACCAGAAAAGTGGTATTGAACCCCTCATCTGCACAACAGAACTCATTCTTCCTTTGCATGACCCAGCTTCTTCATCAAGGACAATTTGCTCTGTTTCAACATCATTTGCCACTCTTCCATGATCGTTAACTCCCCTTTTCAAGTAGCTGCAACCATTTACCAACGAAGTGGTAAGCTCTTAGTTTCAGCAATAAAATAAGGTATATGTAGTTATATACACTTACATCTTGTTTCAAACTCTCTATCAGTAATAAGTGTCATAACCTCAAAATACAAGTTTTGCCATCTGTTTGAAATTGATTAAAAAGTACATTATGTCTTTAAAGTAAATACACTATCAAGAGTTCTACCAGCACACTACACAAAATCTAAACAGGCAAAACTGACAGCAATTCAACCAAAATAACCATCCAAGTGAATAAAAGATAACTGCAAAACTAGAAGTATTGAATCAGAAATGAACATTCAGAAAAACGAAACCAAGTATATTTGCATCCAAACATTGGCCTTTTTATAGAGAAGGGAGATAAAGGGGTACTTGCACTGCATTCCCAAATAGGTCAAAAGGGACACAATACTGACCTGGGTAGTTGTTCTTCCTCCTTAGGCCCTTCCCTGAACTTAGCAAATATTAAAGGGAAGCAGATGCAGCCAATTAAAAATATAGAATTTCAAATCAATTTATTTTTAAAGACAAATAATGACAGACAAAAAAAAGTGAACTGCCTGTGTATGTCCAAGACATGAAAAAAACATGAACAGCCAGTGCAATGGTGCAATGCAATAGCTACAATGTACAGTAGAATATAAATGGCAAATTTAGCACACTTTACCCATGCACATTCTCCCAGAAAGTATACTTTGGAGCTTATAACAGAGAATTGAATACAACTTACAAGTACAAAGTACAAAAGCAACATAGGGACTGATAAGCCGGGTTTGGGGTAGTTCTTTTTATTTATTTTTAGGCATTTTTAATATTTTTAGTGTTTAATTTTTAATTGTTTAGCATAGTTTTATTTTAATTTCAAATTTTACAGTCTTTAATTTTTCTTTCATAAATAATAGTTTTTTTAATCATTTCTTTTTACATTATATTATTTTTATTTTTTTCCCTAACCCAAATTATCAGATATCTTATATTTTGAAGCAAAATATAGCAGAAGGACAAAAATGAAGTTCAAGTTTGAAAGGAAGCAATTGAATTTGGGCCGGATCCCAAACCCATCATTAAATCAAAAAAACAAGATGAGCCCAACACTCCTCTCCTCCCACCTCTTTTGATCTCCGTCATTCAATTGCCAACGGTAAGAAAAGCTTCGACTATAAATTGAGCACAGAATCATCATCTTAAAAGAGGGGAATTCACACAGAAAAATAAAAAAAACAGCAGCTTGGCCGCTGCTATTGCAGCAACCGGTGGACAAGTCCGGCGACGACTGATGGTCGGAGGCGAAGATTCGGCAGGTTCCTTCAGCTCCAATTCTTCAATTTTCATCATCTTCTTCAACAAATTGGTAACCCTATATTTGTCAATTTCTTTTTCTTCTCCAATTTCTTTGTAAAAGTGTGGTTTCAATTCAAGTTTACACTTTATTTTTTCCTTGTTTATTTGTGTTAATTTTGAAAATTCCAAAATGGTTGGTGTTCTTTTATGGGTTTTTTTTATGTTTATATTAAATCCCTTATGAATGAGAATTGATTCATATTAGTTTTCTTCAATTATTGTGTAAACTGTTGTTGAATTGGTTAAATCGCACGGTTTTAATTCATACGTAGGTTGGTATGTGGAATTTGGTTTTCATTGAAGCTATTTTAGGTCCATATTCATAAGAGACCTGCAAAATACTTTCATCATATTTTCATCATTAGACGTTAAAGTTTATTGAAGTGTATAAAATGTTCTTCGTGAATAATTTATGCATGGGAGTTAGAATGAAAGAAAGATTCGCTCTTTTATAAACTTTTTCATCTTTTGGAATAAAAATTATATAAGTATCTAACATGACTTCAATGTAAATTTCATGTTTTAAAAACTATTTTCTTATAAAAATGAGCACACTCAATAAATACGCTTCTATGTGATCATAAACTAAAATATTGTGAATCAAAGGAGTGACAAATTAACAATCAACAAAATAGAAAGATAACATTAATAATCTTACATATTATGTAATGTATGCCTGTTACTCTGTTATTCTCTTGATGTTGTCTAGATTAAAAAGGTTCAAATAAAGAAGGGCATTATAGTTTAAAATAATCAGAGCATTTTTTAAATCAGATTAGGCTGAAATCGAGGCAGTAAGGCGCCACCTAGGCAGCTGTCTAGGCCAATTTTCAGAACATACTCGGTAATCACTTCCACAACTGCCATCACCTGCCCTTACCATATTCAGGCTTACCCTTACTCTATCATCACCACCCCTGCCACCTCCATAGGACTATATCCTTATCTCACCAAGGCCACCACAACTACCTATGCAACTCACTATTGCCATCAGTCCATCACCTACACCAACCAATAGCATTAGCTACCCACCAATAGTCACTACACATATCTGCCCCCCATAATCATCCCCCCTAGTCCCTCATGCAAACCGTCTTGACCATCACACATAATACTACCACTTCCATTATACTCTGTATTATTATAATCAGTTTTTCTTTCCATAAACTATTAACATTACATGTGTTTCCTTTTTTATCTCCCTTCTTTCCTTTTCGGAAGGTTCCTAAATATTACTCCCTTTTCCAATCAATTAATGTATTGTGTGGCAGTGTGGGTTCATATTGATTGTTCTTTTTCTATATAAATCCCAACCGCAAAAGGAAACATAACAAAATTCACAGAGTATGTAGCGCACTTCATAAAAAGAATACATTAGAAAATCTAAATCATACCGTGTCCCAGCAAAATGTCTAGACCGTCTTGAGATCAAGGAAACATTAAAATCTCTTCCAAATATTGATAGCCTGACCTGTAACCAATGAAAACTAGATGAGCTGGAAAGTTAAATTATACACTCCTTGTAAATGTGCAAAAGCATGCAATGGGAAATTGCAGGAGATGACAAAGGACACTTAAGTTCTAATCCTTTTTAAAGAACAAAAACGGATGATTTTCCTAGATAAAAATATAGCTACTTGACTTAAAATGAGAGAAAGAGCTAAAGATACAGAATGAGCACACCTCAAAATTACAATATACAATCAATTAGTATATATATTATATCTTATGGGTATGTGCATGTTTTCCTTACAACCACTAGGTTTTTCTAGAAGGTTCTACATTTAAATTGTTCTTTTTTCCTGCATAGTAATTTTAAACAGATTTCATTCATCCAAAGCATGAAAGAAGAAAATAATCACAGCTGCAATCTTTTTTCAAAGCTGGTGCATTATCTATCCCCATTTAAGATAGTAAAACAATCAGATACCATATCAAACTGTGGAAATACTTTATAGGTTGAAAATGAGAGGTATAGTTTCAGGAAGAGAGTGTTGCGCTGTTAAAGAGTGGAAGTCAATCTACTACACGAATTTCCTATTCTTCTTTTATAGCTATTGCAAACAAAAGCAGTAAAATATTTTAAAACTAAAGAAAAGTAACTACCTGCCTAAAGTGTCCATGAACCAAAGCAATTGTCCACATGGTGTTCTTACATCTGAATCTGATTGGTTCTGTTAAGTATGCATTCCATACAAAAATATTGTCATATGGCATCTCTTTCTCACTCATTGACAGAACATTCTTTTGCAAGCTGCGCATTATAGGATATGTATGACTATAGAAAAAATCCTTGGTCAAGTCAACGCTGGATAAAAGTTTTTTGTACCTGCAAGTACAGAGCTATATAAGTCAAAATAAACATAAACTGCTTTAAAAAGCAGATCACAAGGTGAGAAAAGGAAAGTAACAATCATGAAAAGAAACAAAAGGTTCACATTTTTTGATGGGTACATGTAGAGTAATAACAATTTTTTTCTATGAGCATTGAGAGAAAAATAAAAGCAGGCCTCTTGGTAAAATGAAATAGAGCAAGAAAGATCATGGACATGGTTAATGAGGTAAATTTCATACATGGAGCAAGAAAAGCTAAAAAGGGAATGTTATAGACCAGGCCCTCTTTTTCAATACAAAAATCCACTATTTCCAGACTGATAAATGACATGACAATTCCAAGCTATTCACTTCTCATTCAAGGGGCAAAAGCATATGCCTTAGGGTGTTTTTTTTCAATTTACTTACAATAGATGGTGTGCATAAATTGCAGTAAAGAAGGAACATCCGGATGGAAGTTCACAGAGGATGGTGGCTGTTTCTCAATGCCACTGATGATAATCATATACTCCATACATTTCTAAATATTATTATGGTTCTTTCAGTAGGGCAGCATCTATGAGCCTTCTTTTTTACTGATGGTCGAAGAAAGCAGCATGTGAATCTATTCAGTCATAACAACTTCAGCTTTGCATGCAGGAAATAATGGCTACACTATACACTAAGAATGCTCTTGAGAAAAATCATAAGCAATACTCTATACTTTCACTTTCATCACATATACAATATTCAACAAGAAACAAACTATCATCCATGTTACCGCAGCTCAGTTTTTGAATGAGCAAGATCAGTCTGAACAGACACATGTGGAATTGCAATGATTTGACTCTCATCAATTCCATAAATGGCATGACCACAAATACATCCAATCTGGTGGCGCTTTGTCACCAATACAAGATAATACGACTCCAAGAATTTGATGCAACCTAATAAACCAAGCATAAACATAAAGTTAGGATATTTTTGTTTAAAGATCAGTTTTGCCATCTTACAATCACCACTAATCAGTGCAATTACCAACAATGCCATAAACTTTGGCCACAAAAGTCAATCCTCCAGTGGCTCTATTGCCGTCAGCAATCCTTTGCAGTAAGCTCTTCACTTCCTTAACGGGGTAAACGACTGGATCTTCACTAATATTCAGTTCTGAAGGTTCCATTCTGTCAATCTTAAGCACTCTGAATAACTGCTTATTTCTGTCGCTCCCAATCAGATAAAACCTCTGCGAACAGAAAACTCCAGATTAAAAACGGGTGTAATCTACATTCAGCAACAATCATACATTTATTTGCAGAGCAACAAATGTAGGAGTGTGAGATTTTAGGGATGAATCAGAAAGTCTGAAACGGGGCTGTTTTATTGATCATCTCTTTCCGAGAGCAAAAAATACCGTAATACCGAATTGGTAAACATGAAAATACAAAAAGAGAGCTCAAAACTTACGGCTTGAGTTTCATACAGGCGAAATTTCTCGAGAGAATATGACGAATCGGTGTTGGGACGATTGGGGGGTTGGGTTTTGGATGAATTGAGCTTGAGAGTTTCCCCCTTTGCCGCCATGCCGGAATCAATGGCGAATCAACTGCTGATGAAAGAAAGGAAAGGCTCGGTGAAGAAGAGATCAATATACGTTTGTGTTGACAACATCAGTTTGATATGATGACTTTCATCCAGTTTGCTAGGGTGGTTAGGAGTAGGGAGGTAAACAAATCATGCTATTTGTATTCGAATAAGATGATTCGAATTCGCGTTATTCAAATACAAATTCAAATTCAAATATTATTTTTGATTCGAATATTAATCAAATACAAATAAGGATATATTTGATTCGGATGATATTCGAATATTCGAATATATGTCTATATATACACATACCATGTTTTTAACATCAAAAGTCAAGCAAAGTAATATAGTATAAAGTGCATTTAAAATACTAAGAATTCAATAAATTAACGTAACACGAATCTAAAGCATATGATTTTTAATAGTTATATTTTATAAAATATAATTTGTGTAAGATGCAGATGTATTAATGTTTTTATATACGGAATATAGTATAGTATAAAGAGTATCGTAAGTTAAATTACAAATTAATGTTGGTCCATCATATAAATTACATAGTATGATTATTCAAATATTCGTTTATGATTCGATAACTATTTGAATATTAATCAAATACTTATTCAAATCTTATTTTGAATTCGTCTCATATTCGGATTCAGATTCGTATTCGAAAAAATTAAACAAATACAAATTCAAATATATCGGTATTCGCTTCGATTCGGTTCGTTTACACCCCTAGTTAGGAGTGCCTTCCGTTTTGGCCGTTCCGTTGAAACCCAAAACCAAACACAAATCCGAAAGTAAGGTAGTGTTTGGTTCATTTTTGTACTATATGTCAATTACTGATTACTCCTTATTTGGTTTGGTTTGGTTTTATGTGATTCCTATTTTGGTTTTCTTTTAGCATTTTTGGTTTTTAAAAATAAAAATTTATAAGCATTAAAAAACTTATAACACAAACTCAATGAAGCAATAACAATATGTAGGTCAGGGTTCAGTTTTTACTGAAACTGAAACCAAACAGAAGGTTTAAGTTTGATTCGGTTCAATTTTTCATGAAAAATATGTGTCAAGTGTCCAACAAACATCCAGAAGATTTGAAATTCACCCAAAGCCTTCGTATGCAAATATCAATTACGAAGTATTTGCATTTTTAGTATAATACTTTAATTTTCATTATAACATCAACGTTTTTCATATAAATATATAATTTACTCCTATCAATTTGTAATCTGTATAAGGATGTGTCATTGGTGTTTATACTCTTAGTTTTATTTAAGTTTATTACATGGTTTAAAATGATTCATAGTTAAGACATGATAACTTCAAACGACTAATGAGTTATTTGTATTTATATTTCTATGATTTTTTTATATATTACGTATATACTCATTAAATAGAAAAGTTTGGTTTATTTGGTTTGTTTTGGTTTTCCAGAGTGAAACTAAAACGGAAACCAAATAATAACAGTTTGGTTTGGTTTTTTTACATTTGATTTTTGGTTTTTTCACGTCTGATTTTTTTGTATCTCGTTTCAATCGATTTGGATACGATTTGCGGTTTTTGGTTTTCCCAACCCCGCCTTAGTCGTGGTAGAACTTCTATATTTTCTATGTGTCATATTTAGATCTTTTTTTCTTACAATGTTCAATACATATGATCACAATATTTTATGTATTAAAGTTCATAAAATGAGCATGAACTTAATGACCACAAACGAAGTTGTCACTTTGATCATTTCTAGTTTTTTTGGTAACACTTTCCAACAAAAAGTAATATGAGTAAAACACAACCAAAATAGGAGTGCTATCTTTTTATTTCAGGATAGGACAAAAATTGGTCTTAAATTTTTAAAACAATTAGGGTGAGCTGCTAGCTTGGTTGTTAGCACGACTTCGTTGAAACATACTTGAGATTATGTTTAATTGAATAATGAACGGAAAGGTAATTGAATAATTTACTCTCGTTTTGTTTAATTTAATTGAATAACAAACAGAAAGGTAATTGGATGTGACAGAAAAGTAAATGAATATTAAATAATTTATGTTCATTTGCTATTTGAAAAAATATTGACTCTTTGAGTATTTTTGAACTTATTTTCACAACTTTCTATTCTTTTTTTGGAATGTGGTATGTGATACGAAGTGACATTGTATATTGACAAATAATTAAATTGTTTCTTGGCATCTTAATTGTGTTTTTGATAATATATAGTCATATGTTTGACATTATGCAATGTCATGTTTGTTCATATACATTAATTTTGCGTTTACATTGTTAAAAGGTGTAAACTTTTGTGCTTATAATGATCTTCAATTTGGATTTTTTTACCTTCCCCATTGCTATCCTCTAAGAATCGGGACTAACAAACACATTTGTTGCTACAGAACGTACTTTCAGGGTTAAGACAGAAAGATTTGGAAAGGTTAGCGATGACTTAGGTGGAGAGTATTTGATGCCAAAGGCCAGGTTCGAATGTTCTCACTCTATTTACGTTGTAATTCAATAAAAAAAGTTTAGCGATGACTATGTTTCTTGCAATGTTAGGTTGGTAGTTTAGATAACAACAAAGGTTCAAGGTAAAGATAAGCTGACTTAGGCCCCGTTTAGTTCAACTTATTTTTTCTGCTTTTTTCTTATTCTTATTAAAATCAGATCAGACCAGATCAGATCCAATCAGATAAGATCAGATCCAATCATATCAGACCAGATTAGATCAGATTAGATCCTATCAAAATTTATTATTATTATTATTATTATTATCAAAATTTATTATTATTAAAATCCCGAACCGAACATATATTCAAATACGTAATAAAATAACAAAGTTTTTATATTTGTTCATTAAAATAAATTGATTTTGAAATGTTGGTTCAAGTGTAGATGAATTACAAATAGTCTTTTATTTATATAATCATTAATTTGAATTTAATTTTTTAAGATTTATATAAAAAATAACAAATATTTAAAATATTATTTTGTTATCATTCAATCTCTTTTGTTTGTGAAATATAAAGTATAAATTAAACTAAATTTATAAGTATTTTTTGCATTTAATTATTCATTTTTCAATTGTTTATCTTTCTTTTATTTGAGTGTTCTTTCGATTTTTTTAAATAAAAAGTTTTGAACATTCCAAAGTGTAAATTAGGTACGTATATATATTCGTCCCAATATTTACCGAAACTGAACCATCTCGAACCATACCGAACTGATATTTCGAGATCGGGATCAGTACGATGTAAAATCCCATACCGAACTGAAATATTTGGTACGGTATCGGTACGGACTAAATACTGTACCATACTGTACTACGCTCACCCCTAGATAGAATAAGAAAAATATTCGGGGCAAAGTTTTCCGAGTCAAATTAAAAGAAAAATTTCCACTTTCCACTTTTAAAAATTTTTGAAACTATAGTTTTTGTAATCTGTTAATGCTTTTTCCAATCACTTTAAAATGATGTTCAAATTGAACGTATAAATGAGAAGAGCCATATGACAGGTTGGTGTACCAAAAATACTGTGAGGCCATGACCAAGTTGTCGATGGAGATGATCGAGATGTTGGGAAGGAGTCTAGGGATCAACCCTTCATACTACAAGGACTAATTTGAGGATGGGTTTTCAACGTTGAGGTTCAACTTCTACCCTCGTTGCGAAGAGCCAAATCAGACCCTGGGAACCGGCCCCCATTGTGACCCTAACTCCATCACCATCCTCCACCAAGATGACCAAGTTCAAGGCCTTCATGTCTTCGTCGACAACAAATGGAAGTTTGTGAGGCCTAACTCTGATGCACTCGTTATCGGCATTGGTGACACCTTCCAGGTAGTTAATCCCCAATCCTTATTATAACGGTCAAGGAACCAAACCAAAGTATACAATACACAAACCAGAGTAGATACATCTTGAATTCATAATTGAATTCAAGAAAGAACAATAAATGTATGTTTATCATTAATGTAATACTCTTTTAGCCCTCCATAAATTAATTAAAAAAAAAGTGAATGGTCAACGAGCAATAAGTTGGGCGGCGACCGTTTAGGATATCAAAATTGATCCTTCTAAAGAGAAAGTTATGTTTTAGGGTTTAAAAATTACTATGCATGATCTGTTGGACCCTGGTTAGGAATTTTACGGCCTCTGGGGCTAGGAAATCAAACGTATCAAAAGCAAATGGGATAAACACACGTTGAATTCCTAAACATGTTTTCTTGTGCTTAGCGCAACGACTTTGCTTAATTGATTCTATTTCCAAAACTATTTGGCCAAAAACAAACCCATTATCCCTGAACGTAATAAGAGAGGACACTCATATAAGGTCTACAGAAGCATATATGTTCCTCCCTGCCCGCCCAAATAGAAGAATATCAGTTAGCCATAGAGTACCTACCTTCAAGCGGATCCATCATAAACTTTACTCGAGCCTCCTTTTAGACAAAATTTCTACCTACTCTAGAACATCCTTGACCAAATCACGCCCATATTTAAACTCATGTAAATCTTTGCAATGCACAGTGTTTCTCGCCAAAAGTATCTAAACAAACTTTGGGGTCAACAAAAAATAAAGGATCATTAGCCGGAACTTAAGGATTTTTAGTATTTTACATTCGACATGTGTTGGCCTAATCCTTTAGTTGGGATGACTATCAAGAAATATTGAGCATGAGGGGTTTAGAGACATTCAAACACCACTTTTTGGGGTGGGGATAAATCAAACTTTAATTTTCTCCCAAACTCTCGAATCTGGATTGTTCCACTAATTAAGGCATTCACCAAACCATCATGGGCTTTAGGGGTAGTGTATCTTATTAAAGAAACCATTAAGATCAAAATCAAGAAGGGACCTCTGATAGCAATCCAACTCGCCCATAATCGAGAACCAACATTTTTATTCCTTAGAGATGTCAAATCAATATTTGTATTAAGGGTCAAAACATACATCTTCAATGCAAAACTTTGAGGAGGTGCTTACTTAAAAAGTTAATGTAGAACACATCTAGAGTACCATTTACTTCATTTATCAAAAGAATTACCAAGGGAATCTTACCTTAGCTATGAACTCTTTTAACCCCACGAAAGTTAATTTTTGGATGTATTTTTTTACTAAATTTAATGTAACTGAATTGAAAACAGTT